TTTAATTAAGTTTTGACTGATTATACCTCCAACCAGGGGCGTCAGAAGCATCCGTAATGTGGGGGGAACACAATGATGTGTGTAGGTGTGTGAGTGCACGCGCGCGTAAAAAAAGCGTACACTAGTGTACAAAAAAGCAACATTTCACCAAGATTTCCTTTGATTCCCCACATTTAAAGCATGTTTCTCACAAAGTCTGTGTAAATTCAGCAGTGGGTTTTAAAGATATTTTAACTTTAATACACTTTAATACAGAGCGTCAGGTCGGCATTTGTGTTTATAGAGAAATAGAAAACATCACCACTAGACTTTTTTACTTGTGTTTGACACTCCTCATCTGAATGATGTTTCTCATGAAGCTTGAGGACAATAAGGTGTGGGGGTTTTAAAGACTTTTCAACTTGAATGCGCCTGAACACACAGCGTCTCTTACACCTGCAGTGTCTTACAGCGTCACAGTTACTGCTAAGCTAAGATGCTACGTAGCACTCCTCTCAAGCATCCTCCTAATCATGTATATATGTTTATGATCAACCCCCCCCCCCCCCATCAACAACTGCCCGCACTAAAGCTCGCTAAACTGGCGAGCGAGCAACACAGAGGTGTCTCCTTCTCCTCCACCTGTGCGCGTTTTCGGCCGAGGCAGGAGGAGAAATAGAGGAGAAACAGTGCAGGCAGCAGGTTGATGTGTTTAGAGTTGGAGGTAACCAGGAAAACCTGGAGTGGAGTTTTAGTGGTTTGAGTATTCTATTAATCAAGTTGAATGGATTTGTTCACGAAGAAAGAGACATTGTGCCGACTGAACTAATGTTTCATAGTAAAAGTGTGTGTGTGTGTGTGTGTGGGGGGGGGGGGGGTCCAAAATAATGTTTTTTGAATGTGGACATGTCCCCTTCACATATAATGGTTGTGACGCCTATACCATCGACGATATTTAATGATAGGCAGATGCATGCAGCTGAGTAAAGGGGGCAGAAGATTAGAGCTGAGGAGCCATCAAAGCGCATTAAATGCTTCCCCTGCTTCTGCCTGCATTGAACCCTTGATGTCATCAAAACATTTTAACAGACTGAATTGTGCATGCACTATTTGGTTTTAAGGGCAGATAAATCTGACAGTCATCAGCATAACTACGTGCAGGGTTTCACAGTTGCAGACGGTGTCACTGTGGCAATATGGAGCATCAAAGATTGTGAATGTGATTAATTTGTTTAAAACTTTGTTTCTGGTCAGATTTTACTGTCAGTTAATACACGGAAAGAAGCAAAACTGGATATTTGATTCTGCAGAGGAGCCCTGTCCATCAAAAAGTGTCAACGCAGTTAAATGTCTTTTCAAATATTTTGGGAATGAGTCTTCTTTCGGCACCCAAAACCAATTACTACACAATTTTCCATCCAGTAGTCTGCTCTCTTTAATATCAACTCATAAACAGAAATCATTAAGGGTGGGAACTATTTTTTTTTGCCATAAACCATAAAGCAAACTAGATTTTTGTATTCCATCCTTCCTTCGATTTGCTCGGCCCAGGGGCGGCTCTGGAGTTATTTCCAGTTGTGAGAATGCATCTCAGGGGAGGGATCTCTTGCTGAGAAGTCCATGTGTGAATTGCAGGAGTCGGCCTTGATTATCCAAACACTCTGTGGAGTTTATTTGTGAAAACGGCTTTGGTTCCACAGTTAAAATGAAAGCACGACGACTGACACAGATGGACTCGTTTCCTCCAGTGCTGTTCAGTGCATTCACAGTGGGTGAAAGTTCAGTATCTTTTTATCTGAGCATGTGTCACAACTTGTGATGAAACTAAAAGATTTTCTGTGTGCATGACGCAACACAACGTGCTACAAGATGAAAAGAAACTGTACGGACGCTGCAATAAATCAGAGCTGCTCATTGATTAGTACAGTGTTGGGGAATACAGAGAGGGGTTATTAATTGTTTGTCCAGATGCTTGTAAATGTAATTAGTGCATTGAATTCAGCCACAGGCTGCTGCTGATACACCTGCACCTCTGCTGAGCCAGTCACTTTTTGTTGCATTTGTTCTACAGGCACAAAGTTGTGACCGAGTGTAGAACAGGTAGTTTGGTTTTGTTATAAAGACTGACAGTTTTTGCTGCATATGCGGAAAACCTGAAAATTTTGTTTGTAGCAGGAGGAGCAGAGGTGTCTATCCATGTCAGAGAATGTTAGGTTAATTGGCCGGTTAATGATGGTAGCTGTTCAGTGCTCTGTCATCCTCTGCACATGATGCTTTATGGCTTCAGACCAACCGCCAGACAGGAAATCCAGTGTTGTATCACTGGGCTCTGTGTAGCTGGGGAACAGCTTTCATAAAAGAGTCTCCAGGAATTGTGGTGGTTGTGGTGGCTCTCAACTTCCTCATAGGAGGTGCAGAGGCTCTCTGTCCTGTAGATTGAGTTTTGAACATAATAAAAAAAAAAAGTGCAATAACATTTATTTCAAAACGGTCACAAAGCTCTTATAGGTGTCTACAACACATCTGAAGTTTGCTGCAGGTGTCTCCAACTTGTCTCCAGCGTAGACCTGTCGCGATAAACAATAAATCAATTAATCGCATGATAAATGAAAATTATCGACCTCATTTTCATTTATCGGCTTTGTCATTTCTTCATGTCTCTCTTTCTACTGAAGACACTGGATGACAAAAGGCTCAACTCGAGTGCTCTTCACTGACCCCTCCCTTTCTCTTTAAAATCCATTTTAACCGTCCAAAATTGCGTTTTTGAATCATTAAAAGCAGCTAAGCTGAGAAGCTAAGCTACAACTAGGCCAACCTCGGGGAAAAAAAATCTGTCTTGTCGAAACTCCAAAATTCACAGTTGAAACCTGTGCTTTCATCTAAAATGTTGTTTTTCCTCTGAAAAAATAAGCTGAGAAGCTAAGCTAACAGGCCGACCTCAGGAAAAAACCTCTGTCTTGTCAAAGCTTCAAAATTCATGGTTGAAACCCGTGCCTTCATGTAAAAAGTTGTTTTTCTCTGAAAAAAGAAACTGAAAACTTGTTTACTGATATTTTTCATTAAAAGCTTTGTGTGAAAAATGCTATGCTAAAGAGCTCAAACCACACCGAGCATCTGCCATTTTGAGAACTGAAGAGAGACAGCCCATGTTACATCAAAATGCCTCCTTCCCATTTTTCTTAGAGACACACTGTTCACTCCCTCACTATCCATCCTTTGGTTCAAACTGTCTTATACTGCTTTCCAGTGGTCGAATAAAGGTACTACATGCAAAACAAATGAAACATTTCTTCTTAAATTTGACAATAATTACTGATTATTGTCAAATTTCAATCAGTATTATTGTGTATCGCCATAATTTCCGAGACAATTAATCACCCAGCAAAATGTGTTATCGTGACAGGTCTGCTGCAGCGCTCTACAGCTGTATTTTGATTCGCACACTGAAGCGTTCCTCTAAAGCACAGGTTCCTCAACAAGAGTTTGATTGGTCTCATTTGATGTCCTCTGTTGAGCTTTCGACATCGTAATCAAAGATTACTGAAAAAAATCAAGAGATAGAAGTATTTTACGTTTCATATATCATCTTGGGGGCCAGGTAAGATCTCAACGAGGGCCACATTTGGCCCCCAGACCTTGAGTTTGACACTTATGCTCTAAAGCAAGGGTCTGTAACTGTTTTGATCAAAAGAGCCATTTTTACCCCTTCGCTCACTAAACAAACCGTGTCCAGGTTTACAAATGCTTATTGTTTTTACAAGATAATAACTTAGTCTGAAATGTTTAATATAACAACTCTAGATTAAATATATAGGTGAACAGATTTGGATCAGTATTTGGCAAGAAACTGGTCAATTTAGTCTCTGTCATCCTTAATTAATGCATAATAAGCAGTTCTTAATGATTTATAAAGTGTTTATAGAGGAATTCATAACTTTTCTATAAACTATTTATTTTAGACTCATGAAACTCTAATCAGGATTATCACTGTGAAAAAAATAAAAATCACTGTCATGCCACTTGATTGTTTATGAGCTGCTGATTATCCATGCTGCTGATCTCATGCTGCTGATTTATTTCATGCTGCTGTATTCATTCATACTCATCTGCTCACACAGACTTATGTTCATGCTGCTGTTGTTCAGCGTATTGTTTTAGTGCTTAGTGTATTTTTAGTTTTGCATATTCAGTTCATATCTTAGATCTTAATACTGTTTTTCTTTTACAATTTATACTTTTGTTGGATGTAACTGGGACCCTGTGTACACAATGTCGTTCCACCACATGTACCACATATGATGCGAATGACGATAAAGAAACCTTGACCTTATTAGCCATCTATAAGGGGAGCCTTATTGTAAACTGGTACCATTAATTCTAACCATGTATTAGTGATGTGATTTAAACATTTGCAGAGAAGCTGCTTAAACTAGGCTTTTCTGTTGTGGGTTTTAAAATAATTAGCCATGTTTGAAATGTTGTGTTGGTTTTGGTCAAAGCTTCAAGGCGCCACAGACCAGGGACAAAAGAGCCGCATGTGGCCCCAGAGCCGCAGGTTGCAGACCCCTGCTCTAAAGCAAACCTCCAGATAGGATTCAATATTGTTTTCTAAAGTAGCATACGTTTACGTGTAATCTGTGTTGCCTACCTTCTTTATAAAAGATTTTTGCAGATAAAATCATAAATGTAGGGCTTCTGGGGGGTGGGTGTAAAACAAGCCAATGTTGGCAGCAAAACAATGTGCATGGGCAAGAATGCATTTTCACAGACCATGCACATGAAATATAAAAAGCTGAACATTTATATATATATATATTTTTTTTTGCACTTTTCCCACATTTTCCCAGTCAACAATTATTCTCTATATTTGCAGCTCTTTGAGGTACCACCTTTAACCAGCAAGCTCGCCCGTCGCAGCTCCAACTTTAAATCAGACAGCTTCAAAAAAACGATTTGACACACGTTGAATCGTCCGTTATCTCACTAACCTTCCCTCTCTCTCTCTGATATCTCTTCAGCTGTACAGCTCAGTGGACTTTGGGAGGAAATGGCAGCTCATTCACGAGCACGTCACCCCGAACAGATTCTACTGGTGAGTCATCTCTGGACACGTCTATGCTCTTCTAAATTTTTTTTTTGCTGTTCCTGATGTTCAGCAAGCTAACAAACGACATCAGAATCATGCACAGTTCTCCATCCTGATACAACCAGCCGCAGATTAATCCCCTTCAGAGCACACTGAAGGCACGTCATATGACACCCCCCTGCTCACATCAGGCTTATTGTACATAAAACCAGAACCATCCTGTGTTGATGTCAGCAGTAGGAGCAGCTGCAGATTTGGTAGCAGGACTTATGACTAATAATGGATCCGAGACGTTCCTGTCACTTCTCATCCACTCACGCCTCGTGCTCGCTCCCCCTGCAGTGTACCAACTATATCTAAAAGTGCACAGTCATCGCAAATGTAGGATTGGATCTTTTCCAGCTCATCACTCCCCTACACCCAAACCCCTGCTTCCCCCTTCCAGCTCTGAGGTGACGAGGGGCGTCTGGACTTGGGCTTTACCTCTGCTGTTTTTGGTGTAATCCTAAGCATGTGCAAAATCCATGGCTGGCTTTGCCCTTCTCACCAAAGCCATTTCAAGGATGTGGAAGGACTGGAAGTGCCGGTTGAGACGGCCAGGCAGAACTCCAGTTGGCTTTGTCAGCCTCAGAGGGGGAAGTGTAGCTCTGCCACAATGAGACAACAGCTGCATTCGTCCACTTTAATCCTCCAGAGCTGCAAAGAACAAGACAGCTCGATCACACTCGGAGATAAACTCATCTGGTTTGGTGGCCTTAAACCCCGTCATTTTTCATCTTTTCTGTCTGGGTTAGTGTTGCTGGACTGAGTGTGGCAACGTGTTCACTAAAACCTTTAGAGAAAGCAGAGCAGTAATCTGCTCGCTGCATTTTTATGGACTAACCGTGAAGCACGGTTCACGAAGCTTCAGGATGCACTAAAAACTCCAGAATGTTGCGTCTGCTGCTTGGTGTTTAGTGATGTTTTCAGCATGTCAGCTGCTTTTGGCTGCGCATGACTCATCTGACTTCAACATGCAAGCAGACTCATCCCACTAATTATTCATTTAGAGCATTTGTTGTTGTTACCGTATTTTTCAGTCTATAAGTCGCATTTTTTGCATAATTTGCATGCCCTTTGACTTATACGCCAAAGTAACGTATTTATGGGTTTTTATGGATTTATAAACCAAATTTTGGCTGAGATATGACTGTTTTATTAATTCTGACTGAAGATATTAAAAACTACCATTTTCAGCTGCTAGATGGCACTCGAGTAGTATGGCATGCATTTGTATCATGTAATAGGTTACAGTGGCTATTAATGACGCAATCGGCTTGCCTTAGCCTGCCACCTTTATCCAGCTCCCTTGGAGCAATCGTCAAATCAGCTTAATTTCGCTTCGCCGCCCTGGCGAAATGAAGCTGATTTGATAATTGACGTGCACTTATTAAGTAAAAGTTCAACTGAGACACACCTTTGCTATAATTTAGAGCAAACAAATAATTGTTTTTAAGTGGTAATCTAGTTAAATTCTTGTTGAAGTCCTCCCGTGCACACTTTGGCGGCCGCCATTTGGCAGCTAATTGATTTTTGGCACAACACCAGCACACATTTCCAGGTCGTCTGCGGTGATGCATAATAGATGCGACATAGCTGCCCACTGCGCCACCTGGTGGTGGATGGGTTAAATGCAGAGACTAATTTTGCCATTGTATGGAAACATACAGTGATGACAATGTGATCACATTATTATTATTATTATTATTTTTATTATTATTATATACATCGAAGCAACACATTTATGGATTTTTCTACTTTGTTAGACATATTTGGACTGATGCGACTTATGGGGCGGTGCGGCGTTTACGGCGGAAAATACGATATTTTTCACAAAGGGAAGTCCACTCAGCCTGGTCGTTGCAGAGCATGACATTGAGTCAGTGGGAGAGTGGTGAAGCGTTTCACCCACATTCGCCACTCGGTTGTTGTTTCACTCATCTTTAAATAAAAATTGGGAGAGATGGAGAAATGAAATCTTTGTTCTGATTTATGAACATAATAATTGTTAATATTACCCAGCATATTTTTAATTATAAATGGCAAATTAAATTTTACAGTAAGATAATGCTTTTTGATTTCATATCAGAGAGTGAGTGAAAAAAAAAAACTGTTTTCTTTTTACACAACTGATAAAAACAGCAGATTTCAACTGTTGGCTGTAAATGTGGACATTCTCAGCACCTGGTGATGCATTGTGGGTAATTCAGTGTTCTTATTAGTGTGGGTGTACAAAAAATAGATGTAAACTGAAAAATTAATAAACTAAGAAGTGTAAGCAGAGTTTTCCTGGAGATTTAACCAGTTTGAGAATTTTTTCAGGGCTTACTGGAAACAATTAGCATGTTGCTATTAGCTATGTGCTGTCATAAAGAAACAGGAAGTTGACATCATCACCGTGCACTAATTTTACTCACAGCCTCTAGGTGTAATTCCCTCAACTCTGAACCGTTTATTTAATCATTCAGAAATGTTTGGCTCAGTTTGAGGTGTGATTGTCCTGGTTGTGGTGTATTTTGGATCACCTTGAGAGACCCCCCCCCCCCCACACACACACACACACACACACACACACACACACATACACACACATACAGCTCCACGGTTAAGTTTAGATCAATCTGAGCTGAGTGCTGCTAGAATAAAACTGTCAAGTCATCCTGTTGGTGTGAATGAAAGGTTTCCATGAAGGAACAGAGCCATTCTTGTGTTTTCTTTCACCTCCGGAACAAAAACTAAACGCTCTGCTGGTAACGGGAATTTTGATTTTTGGATATATTTGCATATTCTGAAATCCCAGAATATTTAGTTAATCAAAAGTGAAACCACTTTTTTTGGGGGGGGAAATAAGTGCTTTCAATATTGATTAGATGTCAAATTTTTTAAGACAAATGAATATTCAAAGTTAGTCTTAAAATGCAGTACATCAATACAATGCAATATAATATCCCGGTGCATGCTTAATACTCCAGGTAGAAAATCATGTACAATATAACTTTTATTTACAAGGCACATTAAAAACAACACTGCTGGCCAAAGTGCTGTACACTAACACATACAGCATAAAAACTATAAAATCAACTGAAACAATAAAAGTAATGAACTGTTAAACTCATAATACAGCAAACAGTAAAAAAAAACAATAAAACAAATAACTTTAAAACAGTAAAACCAACATTTCAAGCTGAGTTAAAAGCCAAAGAGGAAAAAAAAATAATCTGTTCTCAGAGATTTAAAAACAGGAAGTGATGTCGAAGGCAGCTCGTTCCACAGTTTAGGAGCCGGCACTAAAAACGTTCTGTCACTTCTCAGCCTCCTGTTGGACTTTGGAATGACCAACAGCAGCTGATCTGCTGACCCGAGAGAGCGTGAGGAAATGTAAAGCTGGAGCAGGTCAGATAGATACTGTGGGGCGAGACCATGAAGACATTTGTAAACAAATAAAATAACCTTAAAATTAATCTGGAAACAAACTGGGAGCCAGTGTAATGATTCTAAAATGGGGTGATGTGCTCTCGTTTTCTGGTACCAGCTAAAAGGCGAGCAGCAACATTCTGAACCAGCTGAAGTCGAGTCAGTATGACTGACTCAGACCCACATAAAGTGAATTGCTGTAGTCCAGACAAGTTGTTATGAAAGCATAGATTAAAATCTCAAAATGTCATGACAGAAATGCTTTGACCATGGCCAGTTGTCCTAGGTGATAAAAGCTGGACTTAATCACTGATTTAATTTGTGCATCAAGTTTAAAATCATTGTCCAGCCTCATGCCCAGGTGTCTCAGTCAAATGATGCGTTAAAGGACCCAGATCAGCATGGACTTTGGAAACATCACTGGGCTTAAACAACAAGACCTCAGTATTTTGCTGATTAAAATGTAAAAAAAGTTCTGTGACATCCAAGCTCTGACTTCTGCCAAACATTCCAGTAGATGGTTCACGGAGTACTGTCTATCTTGTTTTAATGGAACATAAATTTGACTGTCATCGGCATAAAAATGAAAAGTAACACCATGTTTCCGGAGAATATATCCCAGAGGGAGTAAATAAAGGGAAAACAGAAGGGGGCCAAGTATAGATCCCTGAGGTACTCCACATGTGAAAGGTACAGGGGACTCAACAGCTCCAATATGCACACAAAAGCTTCTCTCTTAAAAAAGTGCTACTCTGTCACAGAAATTCAACACCTCTGTTTCTACATTCTTGATTTTATTTTATTTTTTTATTTGCAACAACTCCTGAGTTCTTTCTCCCCATTCATAGCTTCTGATGGTAACGTTGCTGTTTTTGTTCTCCTCTGCCAGGTCTGTGGCAGGCCTCGACAAAGAACCAGATCTGATCCATATGGAGGCTCACACACCAGATGGAAGTGAGTGTTTTCACGACCACGTCTTTATGGGAATAAATCTTCCTGGACAAGGACACTAATTTGGCATTAAACAGCCAGCATTAAACTTGGGCCAATATTCTTGATGAACATGGCCTTTCTTCCTCTCCGTTTCCCTCCTTGAATGTCAGTTTCATAACTCTGAGTGGCAGCGCTGTTAAAATCTGCTTCTAATGAGTCAGATAAGTGAAACTTTTTATAGCAGTTTGGGTTGAAGAGGATCACTCTGACATTCAAGCGCTTAGATTCTACTTAATGACACTTTTTGATTGACAGCCTGGCTGCTTGTCTATTGGTGTTTACAAAATGAGAAGGATAAAAAACAGGAACAACAAAATAATCTAATTAACCGCATAGAACGTAAGAATTCACAAATGGGCGATGCACAAACCTGCACGTCTCAATTAAGACTCATTTTAATTTTTCAGGAGGATAGCTTCATTTTATCTCTAACAGGTAAGATATTGTGCATGAGGTGAAAACGGCTCTCACGCATCCTGTTTGTGTGCCTGACAGATGTGCAGTACGTCACATGCAGAGCTCAGATGTGCACTGAGGCAAACAGGAACTATCCGTTCCCTGGATACATCGACATCAGCTCTCTGGTGGTTCAAGATGACTACATATTCATACAGGTGGGACTTTCACCTTCTCATATTCAGTGACACATGATGCAGCTCGTCTGAGTTTTTCTCCTTGGACTCAAGAGGAAACAAACCCCAGATTTATATAATTCAGTTTTTTTAAAACATCTTTTTCGAGCTTAATAAGCCCTTTTGTCTCCAAACAGAAACAATATGAATTGAAATCAGTCTTTGGATTATGTAAATACAATCTGAAGCAGTTACTGATGTCACTGAAGGATTTAAATAGTGAATGCTTATAGCTTTGGAGATGAGTGTTTTTCTGGACTGGAGCTGAACAGAGAATGAAGTAAACCTAAATGTTTTTGGTGCAACATATTCAAGTCGGGAGGAGTTACTCTGTGAAGAACAGACTTTGTTAGTTTGTACGAGGCAGCGCAGAGTGATGGATGTTGCAGAGTGGAGGGAGGCATTTTACCCTCCACCAGGTGCAGTGAAGGATCCAGGGGGTGGCTAATGGTGGCCTTGACCACATAGATTCATTAAAAAAACGGCTTTAACATGCATGGCAGGTTTTATCCCTATATCACATTTTATTGACTTGTATTGGGGAAGACTGTTTATATTTTATGTTGAAAAAGTAACGCACTAAAATACAATTTTTTTTTGTACACACCTCTATCTGGTGCAACCCAATATTTAAAATCACAGCGATGTTCTTAAGTGAAGATGGTAGCAGACCTGAAGGATAAAGGAACAAAATAGTTCTTTCAGACAGTGTTTTGTAGGTTTCTGCTGTGATACCATGTAGTACAAATAAAGTACTTGTATGGGAATCGCCAAACTGTCTTAAATATTTGCCGATGTTTGTCATTTCCGTTTGGAGGACAAAAATTCTCACCTTGTCTTACTCAAAAAGAGCCGCACTCGATGACAGGAGAAGATTTTTAACCGGTGTAGGTCAGACTTTCACAGCAGGTTACACAGTTATACAGAACATGAAGCCGAGGCACAAGAATCTGCGACAGGCGACATGTGAAGCTTGTTTTTATACACTTATCACCTCAGCCGAGCTCACAGACTCAGAGGAGACCTTGGAGTGCCAGCTGCGCCTGCAGCCTCAAGTCAGCTCCTCATCCAGCTCTCTCTGCTAACTCAAACATATGGTTCATGGGCAGTTTACATTCTCAGCTACAATAGTTAAATACATCCATAAACTTTTACGAAAAAAAAATTCCCTGACAATTCTCCCACAAGTGTCTGAATTTTCAGTTTAGCGGTACACAAAGATCTGTTGGACAATTTTTCACTCAAATGCCTCAAAGCTGTTCATCTATGTCAAGTTTCTGTAAAATGTAGAGCTGCATTTTGTCATGCAAAATGAGAAATCTCATCATGACATACACACACCAGTGTTATGTCTACAGTCAAATGTTCAGGTATAAAAACCACTTCATGATAAGTATTAATTTAAATCTGTTACAAACCTGACCATTTGATTTCTAAAGTGTACTCCGTAGAATAACTCAGACATACTGAGGTGGGTACATAGTGGGCTGGAGCAGGTACAAGCTGGTTGTAGGTTTGTAAGGAAATAACATGCATGGCCTAGAATACAGTTTTGGCCTTCAAACAGCCATGTAGCCTTCTGGAGGTCCACCTGCAGCCCTGCGAGACGTTCAGGGCTGCAACACCTTCACGTGGAGAACACATGAAACTAGTGCCTGTACAAGAACAATTAGGAGGTTTTCAGATTTTTTTTTTTAATTGGAGTAGTTGTTTTATTTGAGCAAGTGCTGGCATGTATTGTTTGTAAGAAGCAGAATAAAGGTTATCAACAGGATCGTTAACTGGATGGAAGAAGTTTTCGGTTTTAAAAATGCAAACAAACATAGAGCAGTTGACTTGTGAGGTTTAGAGATAAATAAAAAAATATATCAAACTAGGTTTTAAAATAACAGTTTATAGAACATTTAATTGTAATATAATGATTTTTTTTATTTATAATTTTAAAACAAATAAAAGACTGTTTATAACTTATACCAGGTTTTTGTTTAAGTTATATTTGTGCCTTTAAATCACAAATATTAGGAGTGACAAGTCATTGCCAAAGCAGCTTCTTAAAGACGTTTGGAAACCAGAGCTCTGGACCTTCTTTAGAGCCAAACCCTGATCCAGACTGGGGCTGCTTTAAGGGATGAGATGTTAGATGGATGTTCAGAGGTCCTAACTCCTCCATGATGCTTCATTTTGGCCTCTGCAGCTCTGAGGATGAACGCAGCTGAAGATTCTCCAGATCTTTCTAGTTGCTTTTTTTTTTATTGGACCTTTATTTATACAGGTTGTCTCAATCATGAGGACTCATTTTCAAGAAAGATCTGTTTTATACAGACACAATGCAACAATGAAAGCAATTAAGACACAATGTAATAACAAATAAAATCAATAAAAGTTATTGTATTAAATATGTAGCTACATATTGTTTTGAGTAAATGCTGCTGATACGAGTGTTTGTGGCTGAGCTGCAGGTCCACCAAGCTGCTTCTAGGGCGTTACACATGTGTCAGTGCAGAAAAAGGAACGTGCACATTTGAATCAGGCACGAACAGTAAGAGAATCTGCACAGAAACTGCATCAGCACGCACAAAATGGACCACGTGCACTTCAACAACGGCAGAGCCGGTCCGCCTTAATGCATGGGAGGTCTTTACAAAACAGCTGGGATGTTTTGAATGAACAGCCTGAAATCCTCGACTTGAGCATGCCGCTCAAACGTCAACGGACTTCAGCTCGGAAATCGATATTATTGAACCGAAAATCAAAAACCTGTTTAGTCTGTTGACAGAATAAACAAAGAAAACTCACCAAAAACCCCCGTGAACCCAGATGTTTTTTTTTTTTGTCCTTAACGGTGCAGGTCTTCTACAAAGAAGGATGAGTCACTTAGTGAGGTAACCTCCGGTTCAGGACGGGGATTTCAGTATCTGCTTCGCTCCTTACCTGTGTCTGTCACCATGGCAACTGATGATGGGAACACAACCTGCTGGGAAGCAGTGGGTCCCAGAAGAAAAAACAAAAATAAGGCTTTAGGTGTTTGAACAGTGAAAATCTGTTCTGACTTCTGTCTGCCTCTGAGTTCAACCGTTTTTTGTTTTTTTTGTCGTCACAAAACCCAAAACTGATAACTCCAGTTATTTCAATTTCAAACCAGTTTAGTTTTATATGTCCAAGTCACAACAGAAGTCGTCTCAGGGCACTGATCAAAAACATTCACACACATAAAAAGTCCATTAGTAAAAGTTCTCTATCTATGGAAGCAGCAGACTGCGTTGAATCTTTACTTCTTCACAGTCTTCCATCCTGAGCAAACACAAAGGAGACAGTGGAAAGGAAAAACTCCCTTTTAACAGGAAGAAACCTCCAGCAGAACCAGACTCAGGATGAGCAGCCATCTGCTTCGACCGGATGGAGTTTGAGAGGACAGGAAGTGGAAGAATGACAGATTCAGGTGTATTTTCTATAGGAGGAAATAAAAAAAAAAAGTTCAGATAGAAATAATTACAAATACAAACAGGGAGAGTAGAGTAAGTAAAGACAGCAGCAGAGTGAGGAAATGTGGCCCGTTTGTCCTCCAGCAGTCAGTTATAGCAGCATAACTAAGGGATAGTTCAGAAAACTCGAGCCAACCCTAACTATAGGATTTATCAAAAAGGAAAGTCTTAAAACTGGACAATGTGTCAGCCTCATGGACAGAAACTGGAAGTTGTTTCCACAAGAGAGGAGCCTGATAACCGAAAGATCTTCCTCCCATTCTGCTTTTGGAAACTCTAGGAACCACAAGTAAACCCCCACAATCTGAGCAAAGTGCTCTGTTAGGAAAATATGGAACAATAAGATTGGTAATATAAAATGCAGCTAGGTTGTTGAGGGCTTTGTAGGTTAGAAGTAAGAGTTTGAATTCAATTTTTGACAGGAAGCCAGTGGAGAGAAGCTAAAACTGGAGAGATATGATCTCTCTCACTAACTCCAGTTAAGACTCTGGGAGCAGCATTTTGGATTAACTGAAGACGTTTTAAAGACGTATTTAGACACCCAGATAATAAACCATTGCAATAGTCCAGTCTAGACGTGACAAATGCATGGACCAGTTTTTCTGCATCATTTTTAAATCAGATGTTTCTAATCATAGTGATATTACGCAGCTGGAAGAAGACGGTTCTAGTATTGTTTTTAATGTGGGGGACAAAAGACATGTCCTGGTCAAAAATAACACCAAGATTTTTAACATTAGAGCTGGAGGACAGATTAATGTCATCCAAGGAGGGAGAAAGACTGAAACATTTATTCCTAAAATGCTCAGGTCCAAAAACCAAAACCTCTTTCATGAACTAACTCTTCATCGTTTATTAACCCCAACTGAACGTAGAACATAGTGAATGCAAGTAAGCATGTGTTGATTTAAAAAAACAAAAACAAATGAGACCTTTTTTTTTTATTTTAACATCATCATACATTTCTCTGGGATTGTTAAAGCTACTGCAAGGTGCAGTTTTATTTTTTTCCTACAGCCAATCAAGGGATGATCCAAAAACTGCAACTCTCAGCTAAAATTGACAAAGTCAGAGCCACTTTTGTGTTTTCTGAGATCAGTTGGCTAAAAGGCCAATGATCACGCAGACTGCAGGTGTCTGTTAATGCTGTTTAAAAAAGAAAATATTATGTTTAAAACCAAAAAGATACTGTAAGTCTTCCCTTTTTAGAGCATGGACTGCAATGACAGAAAAGACAATAAAAAGCTTATTTATTACACATTACAATTTGCTGTTGATGCACGTTCAAGCTGTCCTTTTTTCTGAATAGATTTATTTTATTTTATTTGTTCTTCAGTCAAAGTTGCCATTGTTTCTAAAAAGCATTTTGTTTCTTTGTTTAATATTGTTTTATTCTTCCCTTTCTGTGGTGTCATAATACCAATAATTGTCTTGTTAAAACCCCAACCGAGACTCTTTTTTTTTTATTTTTCTTTCTGGTTTTAATATTCATCCCAGTTT